CCTGGGTGACACACTGGGTGACTGACACACCTGGTTTGAGCTCATGTGCTTGACCTCAGGGTTGTGATCTCAGGGGCTTGAGATCCAGCCCCGCATAGGGCTCAGCGGGGAGTATGCTTAAGACTGTCTCTCCCTCTCCCTCTGCCTCTCTCCCCGCCTCTCAAATAATAATAAACCTTTTTAAAAAATCAAGTACAGATTGTGAAAGCTTCTATAAAGATGGTTTCCTGTGGCATGCCTCCAGTTTTGGAGCTGGACAGCATTAGGCGCCCTGACTGTACCCATCAACCTAGTGACACTTTCTCCTACACACTAAAACCTTTTATGTTTGTCTTTTCTCGTTTTTCTTTTAATTTCACAGAATCATTTTCAAGCTACTTAAGCCAATTGTCATTGAAATCAGGAATTTCACTTCCACTCTTTTATTTTTGATTTAAAAAAAAAAAACAAGGGCACCTGGGTGGCTCAGTCAGTTAAGCATCTGCCTTCAACTCAGGTCATGATCCCAGCATCCTGGGGAGAGCTTCTCCCCCTCCCACTGCCCCTGCTTGTGCTCTCTCTCTCTCTTTTTCTGTCAAATGAATAAATAAAATCTTTTTTTTTTTAAAAAAAAAGGAAAATGAATAAAAAAATAAAAATAAAAAAAGCTTTGAATGCACAAATAACTTTTTTCAACCAATGAAGGATAGGACATATTAGCTTTGCTTTTTATGCAATGCAAAAACCTGCACATTCATGCACATTCCTCCCCCACGTCAGTTAAATAAGACATCACAGGAGGAGCATAACGTTGTGTCCAGCACCTGGTAGGTAAGGCTTTGGTTAATGTTGCTTCCTTCCCCCACTCCCAGTTTTCCCGTAAATCCTTCCTTCAGATATTCCAGTTACGCCAACTCTTTATTGGTGGAATGACTCTGATCTCATGAATATCAATTTCCATTGTCTCTACTGACCTTGGTAGGATGAAGGATACAACTCTCTATTTAGTCTCATCTTGATGTTGGGGGAAGGGATACCTAGAAGAGGGTATAGTTGGATCAACAGAAACCAATCATGACTTCTCTACAAACAAGTGATTGATTTATTCCCTGGGCCATGGTTTGTTCTTATTTTAAAGGAATGGGGTATTCTCATGCCTTTATTGAACCAGTTGGGAAACTGGGATAAAAAACACTTATTTCTACCTTCAAGAATCTGAAAGAGACAGAGGGAAGGAATCCTAGAAGGCTTTGGTAGGGTGGATCCTGGAATAATTAGGGACCACTGAAATCAGGCAGAGGGCCGAGATGTTAGTCTAAGCAGCAGGGGCAGCACACCAATGGCCAGACAGTGAGGATGAGGGTGGTAGGTTAGAAGTCACTAGGGTTTAGTTTGGCTAAGGAGATGGGGTTTTATCCTGAAGGTTGTAGAGTCTTCAAAAGGTTTGAACAAAGCGAGGGAGCAATATAATGGGATTAGTATTTTTTATTTTTTTTGTTTT